TTTGGATAGATCTAAAATTCTAAAGTAAATCATAGAATTCAATTCTATGCATAATTGAGTAATTTCAAAAGTAACGTGTACACATAAAGTGCAATATTAGTGTTTTAGTCCAGTAAGGCATATCAATAATATTTATTCCTACTTTGGAGCACTTAGTTCAAATAGATGACAATCATCCCTCAAATCAAGTGAGACATGCACGTAGCCAATTTATAATTTAAATATTAGGAACATAATTGGCATGCAAAATAATTTACGAAATTGACACAAGTGGCAGACAAGCAGAAATTTTCAATTTTCCTGGCATACTTTATACGATGGTTCCCCACACAATCTTTCCTCTAATTAGAGTATAATTTCAATTAACTACCTAATTATGTCAAATTTTGCCAACGTTGTGTAAAATTAAATAACAAGCAGGATATTACTGAGGGGCCGGGGATGGGTGGTCCAGGACATAATCTAGTGTAAGTTAGGATACCTGGATATCAAAAAAAAAAAAAAATCAAAATAAGTTACGTTTCTAAGTATAGGTCTTCAAAAAGTTCAAAAACGAGTTTTGAACATCCGAAAATTCCATAATTAAGTTTCCTCATTGCACCCGAAAGTTGAGTAGCGGGCCGCCTAGGCGGTGAAGGCAAATTATATGCCACACCCTGCATAATTTTCCCGAGGGCGGCTAAGCGAGCCAAAATTGTAGCCTAGGTCCTAACGTTTATATCTTCTTCATACCGGTCATTCAATAGTTCAATAAGTCCAAACTGGTCCTCCAAGTTTCAAACTCATCCACTTTGATCATTCTACTTCATAGTTCTTCATATTTGGTCCTTCAAGTTTCAAGAGTATACAAGTTGGTCCCTCTTCCGCGTTTCAATACACTTAGTCCTTCAACTGTCCAAATAGAGAATTTACTCCTCAAAACTTATGAATTCCTCCAATCAGACCTTCCGAAGTTTCCAATCATGCCCCAACTTTTCGATAGCTCTTCAATTTCATCCTCTATCTCCATTGACCTTCGTTTTGCTCAATTCACCTTCAAATCGGTGTTTTTCCTATAAAAGCAATATGTACACTAAATTAAGTAGAAACCCATCCAGGTCTCAAAAACAATTTGCAAGTTTTGTTGATTCTATTTTCGATAGTGATTTCATTAACTGGGATTTTAATTTTTCAATTTCGAGACAGATAAATCTCCAAATGATTCATTGTTGTGCTTGTATCGGCTATTTATATAATATATCGTTTTCGCATTCATTCTTGTTATTATAGATTATCGTGTATTTTTTTTCATTATAGTATCATGTTTTCATTATTGATCTCTACATTTTTTTCCAATTCTTTCATTTTTATTTTTTTTACTATGTTTTCACATTTTTGCTGGCATATCCACGTAGTTGTAGCAAGCATAGACCAAAAATAAAATAAAAATGTAAGCGTTATCTTTCTTCGTTGAAGAAGAATAGACTTTGCAACATGGTTCGAAATTGGCAGATGCGTCAATAATATAAAGAAATATGAATTTAAATACCATTTACAATAAATATAATATAAGCATTGCGAGACACCCCCTCCTGGATTGGATTATAAAATCAAAGATGATAAAACGAGTCATTATATAAAAGCCCAACTGGATACAGTATGCTCCATTGATTAACCCAACCCACCCTCCCCAATTCCCACATCGACAGAATAAGAACAGACTCTTCAGTTTTTATATGCACGCC